GACACTTTATATAGAAGCAAACTGAGGGTCAGAGACACGAAATACCCAGTCTCACAAGCTCATGAGTGGTGGGCCTGCATTCAAGCTGACATCTGGCTTACTCTCAGGCCAAGGTCTCTTTACTCTTTTTGTCTCTTCTCGCCTCAAACAACTAATGAATGCGAAATGATGAAAACATGAGTAAAATATGCAAATGATATGGGATAGAGATAAGGAAGCTGCTTTATTTAACAAGCACTTGTTGATAGTGTAGTGTATTGTTTAGCCCCCAAATCTGCTTCATCTGTAAGATGAGGCTAATGCTATTGTCAACGTCACAGCTGCCTTTGGTGGTTACTGAGACAGACATGTACTCACAGGGCCAAAAGTATAGTGACGGCTCCATTACTCTTCAGTGTTGTTAGCTGGATACTACGGAGGGTACAAACCTGCCTCTCACAGTCCAGTCCTTGCCTCACGTACAGACCCTAGAAACCAGGCAGGCGAGGGCTAAGTAAATGCAGTCACCGCTGCGGGTCTGCAAGAAGCAAAGGCGGCCGCGGTGTTTGGAGGAGATGGGTGCAGCAGAAAGGTCTTCCCCTGAATCTGAGGAGGGGATGAGGCGTCGGGAAGGCAGCAGAGAAAGGACCAGGCCAGAACGGAAACGAGATGCAGAGCAGGAAGTGAGGGTGGTGATCAGAGAGTCGGACTTGGTGAGGCGCAGACGTGTGAGCAGTGGGACCAGAAGGAAGGATGCCAGACTGGAGGGGAAAAACCTGAGCTCAGGTCTTGAGCCTCTAAAAGTTGCTGCCGGTTCCTGGTCCAATGAATGACATGGGGCCTTTAAAGCTTACCTGTCACACGATCCAGGAACTGGAGACATATCTGCTACAAGAAAACAGGAGCTCACAGAATTATAAACACAGCAATATAAGATAGATTTAGATAAAATATTTTAAGTCAGTGGTACGATCAGGACTTGAACTGTAATTTGTACCCTCCTCACAGAGATGATGACTGAAGCGCTGGGAATGGATGAGCAGCCCAGGGAGGCAGGCGCACAGACTGTCAGAGCCGCGAGGATGGACTCCCAGCTCCAGCAGCTCCAGGAGTGGTGTCTGCCGGCATCGGCACGACGGTACTCCCAGGGCCCAGAGGCCTCTTCTTTCTCAGGCCACATAGGACAGGTCTCTGTCACTCCAGCTAGTCCCTCCTCTTGTTTTCCCTAAAGTCCCTGGGAAGATAAGGCCCCTAGCTGCCTCTCAGAGGACAGGAGCAGAGAGATCCGGTGGGGAACCTGCCACCGGCGCATCACATTTATGGCCAATCCCCCAAAATGCATGCCTGGTTTCTTTTCAAAAGTAATACACACTTTGCCCATCAATTTGTGCATACTTGTGTACACATGCTGGACTTGCGGTTTTGTTCAGATGCACACTCCGTATGTCCTAACGCACGAAGAGCCGCATCCTTGTTTGGGGCAGAAACAGGCGCTGCCATATCTCCGGCGGCATTGCTTAATGGCTCCTTACACCCTCCTGGGGGTGGGGGTCAGTGCTTGACACTCCATCCGGGTCCTTCTGTCTGATCACAGGACGCATATGCTAGCACTTACCAAACCAAAAAAGCAGGGTGGGGAGGGAATCTGAGTAACACGTGTCAGTTTCAATGTTGTTTTGAAGTAAGAGTGAGAGAAAATTTTTTCAAGTAATTAATCAATATTCAATTCTTGCTGAAATAGAAATATGAAGAGGTATATGGAGAAGAAATAATTGAGAGTGAAGAAAAGCAACTGGATGCTCATAGACAAAAGATCATTTATTTTTTTGTTTTGGACCAAAATCTCATTAAGACCTGTTTTGGGCTTGGACACCGTTTATGAGCTGGCCCACCTAACTTTCTGGGTGCTGGATCTAAATGACTGCTAGTTGGATATGAGCGGGATGTGTGTGATTCCACAGAAATACTTCTTTGGTTTTGTGAGCTACTGTGTCTATCGAGTGGGCTTCCCTGTTTCAGCTTAATTTCATTTTCCGGGCACACTATTCCGTTTGCCTTCTTTTGTATTTCCATGCAAAGAATGCTATAGAAAACTCCACAAAACGGCTTTTAATAAACTATTTACTCGAACACAGTTTTCCCGTAGAAGAGGAGGCAGAGAACGAAAACTTGATTCATACTCACTGTGGCAGGGCTGCTGGCAGGGAGCGTCTAATGATCGAGTGGACTTGTCTGTAAACATCCAGCTTGGACATGCACCGGCAGGAAGTGTGATTAGCAAAACTGACTGTGACTGGTTTGGGGCCTTGAGAGAGAGGCACTGTAATTTCAAACAACTACAAAGGAGGGACAAAAAGAGAGACAATTATATAGATGCCGTACAGCATGTTATGGTAAATGTTGGAGTCCACAAAGAGTGAGATGAACTCTTCATGAACAGGTAGAGAGCTGCATAACATAGGCAGAGCATCAATATCCTTTGTCAATTAATCAATAGGTCCTATGCTTACCTCATGTCACTGTTACAAAGCATATTAGGATTTTGATAATCAACTAATGATTATAGAGCAGAGATGTAATAGACCAATGTGTTCAAGGAGAAGAACGGTTTCAGAGACCTAAATTATTATATATATTAATTGATTCCAGAGAGGAAGGGAGAGGGCATGTGCCCTGACCAAGAATCGAACCATGACCTCCTGGTTCATGGGTCAACGATGCTCAACCACTGAGCCATCTGGGCTGGGAGACCTAGATTGTTTTAAAGAGTAAGAAAGGGGCACCAATGTACATTTCACTGTGATGTAAGAGCAAAGCTATTGGCCACCTCAAAACGTTTGGTTAAGTCCTATTGTATATAAACTGAATACACAGACAAAAAACACATAGATGAAAAGCTGGTTTTCATTCCAAATCAAATTTCTACCTCAGGGTAGTTTTACCTGTATTGAGATCTCTTATAAACTCACTATGTTTAAAAGAAAAAAAAAAACACATTCATGATTTAACAGCTAAAGCTCTGTTTCTGCTGTTTTGACAAAGGTATCAGGGAAAATATAATCTTAGAGAAAGGGAGAGCAATTTACGTGACTGTGGGTTAGATCTCGACATTTAGCTTGACTAAGTCTCCTTCAGAACGCCTTGTCTGTGGAGAACTCCAGTTCTCTTCCTTCTACCGAAATAGTGCTTTGAAACATTAAGTAAAGCCAAGCAGATTTAAATTCCTAAGGCTCTGAGAATCTAGATGATCTTCAGTACCAATGGCAAAGTAAAACCCTGTCCATTGTCTGCTCGATAAGATCAACGCAAAGTAACTCAACTGCAGGGAACCACGTGTGGTGTGGGACTTTTATGGCAATCTGGGCAGCGTGAAGAGCATGACATACTCCAGAGCCTCGTGATTTGGCGCCTCGCTGCGATTTCATACCAACAGTTGAAGATCATCGAAAAGGTCGAGGGAGCAGAATTAGTTGCCCTTTTGTTCATACTACGGAGAGATGTGTAAAAAGGGCTTTTGAAGAATGAAATGCAGAGATATCTCAATTATAAGATGCATATTTTCTTCACTTGAAATGCATTCATTTCCAATTGCAGCTATTTTCTTAGGATAAGTGCCTCAAGAGGAATGGGCACAGATCACACCCAGACAGGATACTTTTATTAGCGACCGCACTTGTGAGTTGTGTGAACTTGGAAATGCCATCTAACTTTTCAAAGCTATTTGTTTCTTTAAAAACCAGTAAAATGAAGATGATATTGACCCATTACTTCATGAGACTGTTATGAAATTATATAGGCTGAAACATGAATGTGCTCGATGTACTGAGTGCTGTATAGATGTGGGTGTTTAGTTATTTGCATGTGTTCTCAGGCTTCTAGATATTCCCCAGAATACTGTCCATTCTCCATCGATAATTCCAACATAGGGCCTCAACGTGTCCCCGCATGATGGTTTTGACCGGTTTCTTCTCTAAGAGACATGGGTGTATGCAGTTGGGCTGAAACCTTTGATTAGGTGACATGTCACACTGGCAGAAACCCTTTGTGCTATGTGTAACTATATAAGGAAAGATAATTCTGCAGTGTCTACAAATGCTACAGTTTTTCTACTTGCATGACATTTGCGGACCCTACCTTAATAACCAGAGTGACAAAGGCAATATGAAGTGGCTTAGAAACGAAGCCATTTTAATAAGGTGCATATGTAATTTTTACAAAGGACTTGAAGCTCGCAACAGTGGGAACAGGAGAGAGGTGTGCAGGTCAGCTCGCAAAAGCCTCGATTGTACGTCTAGTAGGCAGGTAGATGTCTGTGCCTGGCGCTTGGAGAGCCATTGAAAAATCAACCATATTAACATTGGAATTGAAGTCTGGGCATCGATACGATGACCTGATAAGATCAAAAAGTGTCTAGTAACAGAAAGCTGGGGAAGGAACACTTCAGGGTGAACAGAGGCAGGTGAGGCGTTCCCTAGCCTGGGAAGAGGTGTGACAGGTAGAACACCAGGCGGGGTGTTAAGTCCAGGGAAGGCACAGAATGAGAGGAGGGCTTCACAAAGGCGTGTGTGGTCACAGGCTCCAGTGTCTCTGGGAAAGAAATCAAGGACGTCAGGAGGGAGCAGGGACAGCTGGGCACCAGAGTGGCTCTAAGGGCTGTGGCAGGGCAGGGCGTGAGGACAGGAGCAGCAATAGGGATGGAGAGACAAGAGGGGCCCCACAGGACTGGAGGAAAGGGGCTCAGATGGCTCTGGCCACAAGGGACACTTTCCCTGACAGAGTGCATGGAATTCTTGCAGGATCTGTCATCGTCTCAAGTGACACAAGGCAGGACAAGTGCCTCAAGAGGAATGGGCACAGATCACACCCAGACAGGGAAAAAGTCACTGTTTAGAGAAGTTTGTTTTATTGCGGAAGAGTTAAGGAGGTTTTCCCACCCCTGGACCTCAGGGGCACGCTTCCTGCTCTCAGTGATGGTGGCCACTTCAGACCCCACCCCACGTGCCTCCCCCAAAAAGAGCTCAGCGACCATTATCAGCGATCTCAGGCCACTTCAGCCACTCCCAGGGGGTAAGGTCCACAGTTAGGACCCGCCCAAAGGCACCAAGTGTGTATTCAGGAACTGGGGCAGTGAAGAATGTTCCAGAGAGATGAAGACCAGTTAAATGCCCAGGAAGAAAGCATCTTCTTGGAAAAATAAGACTGGCTCTACACTTTCAAAGAGCGGAAGAGGCCTTTGGCAAACCCACTACTTCGAGGAGAAAGGGACAGGTAAGGAGGCAGTAAAAAAAAGTCACTGTTTAGAGAAGTTTGTTTTTTTATTTTTTTCTTAAACTTGAAGAAATCTTATGCCTTCAAATTACAGGACAGCTTGGGAGAAAAATCTACTTATAGTTTAGCTATTTAAACAACAGAAAAAAATGTAATTATTGATGTTTCATTCCTCTTGTTTGAGTCTAAGTAGGCAACTGGCCAGCTGGAATTAGTTATTTTCATCAAAAGGAATAAATAGGTCAAAAATTAAAGTTAGAAAAAAATATTTTCTTGAAACACTTCTTCTACCTTCAAATGTTGACCTGAGTTTCTCCAGTAGTTCAACTCTCTACCTGAGTGTCCCAGTGTGGGAAACACATAAGGGTCCAGAGAAGGATGTCTCTGACCAATAGAAAAAGGAGAAAAAGTCTTACTCATCGAGTTTTATTCATTTATCAATTTCAGAAAAAATGGGAACAGCTGAGAGTGTGCCACGGGTGATTTAGCTAATTTGACCTCCGCGGGCTGGTGTACAGAGAAGGCGCCTCTTCCCTCTTCCAATTTTATTCCCCGCTACTCTTATGGTGCATACATTGATAGACATTTTCTCATGTAAAATGATCCACTATTTCTACTACCTTTCTAATAAGTACAGTAATTTGTTTTCTTTACAGAACAAGTTGTGAATTTCATATAGCTCTATGTAATCCCATGTTACTAAGAATGTCCATATACCTTTTTCCCTAGTCAGATAATAGGTACTTAAAAATGTAAACTTTTTTGAACTAAAAATATTAATAATTAGAATCACATTATAAACTCACAGGTCCCGATCCTAAAAAAAATCAGTGCCCTTTTAAAATACCTGGAAGCTTCCCTTTTCCACTAGGGAGGCATGAACAACCAAAAGCATCACCTCAAGGGCAGGCAGGCGGTAGGCAGAGCCTGCACTTGCAGTTTGGCTCCTGGGCCTTGGAAAAACTGCCCAACTGCCCTGAGCCTCCATTTCTCTGTAAAATAGGGATAATACAGTGGTGATTTCATTGTTGGGCTGTTTGATTTCCCCTCATCCTCCCCATTCTTCTTCAAGATTGAGCTGAATCTTTGGTAGAGGGATTACACATTATTAAGTTTCTCTTTAAAATTGTTCCTTGTTTCGTTTTTAATAACTGTTTATTGAGAACCTAGAAGATGCCAAGTGCCAGGTGCCTTACTGGACTGTCAAGCGAACAGCTATCAGTCTACAAGTCTTGCCTCCATGTAATTCTTAAGAAGCCCAACAAACAATGGGAGTGAACTAGAGGAAACTTTACATATGTTATGATTCTATGTTGGAATGATCAAAATATCAACTCGTTTACCACAAATGCTGTTAGTGAGCAAGAACCTCAGTTTACCTGTCTTATGGAAATGCATGCTGGCCATTATATGAAGGTCTGAATCAACGCAGGACCTGTAATTTACTCTCGAAAGAGTCAGTTCTCATCATACACTGGAGTGTTTGAGGCAATAATGGATCCTTTATATTTTAATAAAATAAGAATCCTTATACTATTGTCAGACTATTTTGTGCTTCAATGTGTACACAGGAGTGTTTTCTATTTTAGATTTATGCTCATAGAATGCAAGGTTCGTGTATTAGGTTCAGCATTAGCTAATAATTCTATGTATATATGGGCACTTAGTCGATACTGATGGATGATGGTGACAATCATAATTTGATATTTTGAGCATGATGATTTTCCTAAGACAGTTTTATGCTGTGAAGTGAATTGTTCTTGAACAGTAAGATATAAACTTGCAATTAACTTAGGGTTCCAGTACTAATGAAAGTCACCATGGAGACTCAGGCTGTCTATCAGTATATGCCTATTGAAAGAGTTGCTCATTTTAAAGACGATCAAAAGAACTTATATCCAGGGGGCATTTAAACAAGGCTGGAAATTGGGGGAAATACAATAGTATAAGCTGTAAAACTGCAATAAAAAGGAAGTGGCGATCATTTCCAACTGAGAGACTCCCCACTGCTATCAACTGGAATTTTTTAATAAGAATGTTTAATAGTCAATTCTCACCAACAAGAATG